GAAGCAAGTGGGGGGGGGGACATGAGAGAGGTTTACAACATTACACATGGAGTGGGGGAGGGTGGGGAAAAGAGTGGACAAAGATAACTTTTTCTCCCTCTCCCCAAATACTAGAACTCGAGAGCATCCAATGAAACTGATGGGCAGTAGGTTCGCAGTGGACAAAAGGAAATACTACTTTACACTGGGAGTGATTCAAATGTGGAATTCGCTGCCAGAGGATGTCGTGATGGCCACAGGAACAAACAGCTTTAAAAGGGGATTAGATAGATTCATGGAGGATAAGTCTATGAATGGCTACTAGCCATGGTGACTGAGGGGAACCTCCACATTCAGAAGCACTAAACCTCTGGATCCCAGAACCAGGACGCAGCATTAGGGGAAGGCCACGGCCTCTATGCCCTGTTGTTGGCCCTCCAGAGGAACTGGCTGGCCACTGTGTGAGACAGGATGCTGGACCAGATGGACCATTGGTCTGATCCAGCAGGGCTCTTCTTGTGTTCTTATGTTCTTACCAACCAGGGCCAACTTTGCTTAGCTTCTGAGATCAGGGCATAATCAGTACTGAAAGTTCACCTTATGAGCCTACTATCTGTGGCCACTGATAGTGTGCCATGTGAGACATCGCTGTGCCAAACATATGCAAACCAACACAGCCAAGTACTTAAGGTAAATGAGATGCCTTTCCCCACTCAGCCACTTTCAGCTGATTGTTTTGCTTTTCCACCACCAATACACTCTTCCCGAGTCTACTATTATATCTTCCAAGAAAACCATGCTCGTTGCAGACCTAGATTAGAATAGGCCGCTCCCAAGGAAGCGTACCCCTATAGTAGTAGTAGTAGTAGTGGTAGTAGTAGTAGTAGTAGTAGGAGGAGGAGGAGGAGGAGGAGGAGGAGATTGGATTTATACCCCACCCTTCACTACCCAAAGGTGTCTCAGAGCAGCTTACAGACTCCTTTCCCTCTCCCTCCCCACAACAGACACCCTGTGAGGTAGGTGGGGCTGAGAGAGCTCTGACAGAAACTGCTCTTTTTTCAAGAACAGCTCTTATCAGAACTATGGCTTGCCCAAGGTCATCCAGCCAGGTGCAAGCGGAGGAGTGGGGAATCAAACCCGGTTCTCCCAGATTAGAGTCCGCGCACTTAACCACTACACCAAACAGAGCATACGAACTACCAACAAGATATTTGGGGTATGAAAGGCAACGCTTCTGAGATTTGATGAGATCAGGCTAGCCTGGGCTATCCAGGTCATGGCTGTTATAAAAAAAACAATGCTGTTTTTTAAATCAAAACACTTGAAAAAAATTGGCCTGTAAAACAATACCCAATGCTAAATTTATCTTAATTTGGAGAAATACTTAACTTAACTGATGGGGCAGCATTCCATCTACAGTGGAGCCATTCACCCTCCGCTTTGAACAGTGAGAGGACAGGCCGGGTATAAATGTTTTAATAAGTGTATTAATCAGGGCTATTTTGGGGCAGGAACGCACAGGAACGGTGTTCTGGCTGGCTCCCAGGTTGGCCACGCCCAGCAGGAACTCATTAGCATAATAGGCCACACCCAACAGCAGGAACTCATTAGGATTGGCTACATTAGGGGTGTGTGGCCTAACATGCAAAGAAGTTCCTGCTACAAAAAAAAGCCCTGGGTTTTGACAATAAACAAAGTAAATAGAATAAGAAGCAAAAGGTGGGTGTGGCTCGATGACCACACTTCTGGTAACATGGGGGGGTGGCCTAATATGCTAATGAGATGTGCTGTCAGGGTGTGACCTAATATGCTAATGAGTGCCTGCTGTTGGGTGTGGCCTATTATGCTAATGAGTTCCTGCTGGGCTTTTTCTACAAAAAAAGCCCTGAATAAGTGTATTAATTAATAAAGATGCTAACTTTTCCCATTTTGCAGCTATTGCCAATTTAAAAGCGGTAGGTAGGCTCAAGTTGCCTAGATGGGTCCAGCTTGGCTCAAGCTTGACAGGGCCTGGGAGCTCAGCAGAGTCAGCCTTGGCTAGTGTTTGGATGGGAGCCCACCAAGGAAGACTGGGGCTGGTGTGCAGAGGAAGGCCATGGGAAGCCACCTCGGCTGGTCTCTTGCCTTGAAAACCCCATTTTCCTGGGGTTGCCCTGAGCGAGTTGTAACCCAACGGCAAGCTCTCTGTTCTCAAGTAGGCCCAAGACATCCCAAAGGGCAATGTGCCCCTTTGTATAACCCAATAAAATGGAACAAGGGGTACATTGCCGCCCAACATTTCATTAACAAACTGAGTTACCAATTTCCAAAAAGGCTTGAATTTTTGAATATGACTTAAAAAAAAAATCCAATGTAGACAAGCCAGACAGTCAGCAATGATCCCACCTACTTCTTTATACAACAGCTAGCATTCCTGTGTGAATAAACGTTATTTAGGATGTGTATTGAAGCTATTTATTTATGCTTTCAACTTATACCCCGCTCGAACCCCGAGGGGGTCTCTGAGCGGCTTACACAATTTCATTTATCCCTATCTATGGCCACATCGTCAGGGGTGGGGACTGCCCTACCGGCACCCAATGGTAGGACTCGCTTGTTCTTCTTCTTTTTCAGCTCGGCTTTGGCACGGCTTCGGCTCGGCTCTTCTTCTTCTTCCTGTGGTCTTCGGAGTCGGCTGTTGTTTCCGGCGGGCCCATCGGGCGCAGGGTTCGCATCAGCCCGGCTCCGGCTATGTCCTTTTTGGTTCCGCCGCACCTGCGCTTCTACGTTCCTGCGCCTTCTGGCTCCGCCTTCGCCATCATCCAATCCACCGCTGGTGTTACACCTCCTTGCCGTCACTGCTCGCCACTTCACTCATCGCCGCCGTCGCTCGTCGCTCTGCCGCCGTCGCTTGTCGCTCTGCCGCTGCCGCTGCTCCCACCAGACAGGTACCCACCACTATAGCAGTGGCGGATTGTGCCTGGGGATTTTTCAGTGCGCACTCAATGCGCACTCTTCTTCTCAAGACTCTTGAGGTGGAAAATGCCGTCAAGTCACAGCCTGCTTATGGCAATCCTGTAGACTTTTCAAAGCAAGAGAAAAACAGAGGTGGTCTGCCATTGCCTGCCTCTGCGTAGCGACCATAAGACTCCCTTCGTGGTCTCCCATCCAAGTCCTAATCAGGACTGACCCTGCTTAGCTTCTGAGATCTGATGAGATCAGGCTGGCCTAGCAGGGGTGTCAAACATACGGCCCGGGGACTGGAACCAGCCCATCCAGGGCTCTTATCTGGCCTGCGAGCAACTAGTGCGAGGGAAGGAAGGCAGGAGGCTGCTCGGAGGCGGGGGGACATGGGAGCACACGGTGAGGTGTGTGTGATCGAAGCTGTCAAGAAATTAAAGGAAATGGCGAGGGGGAGGGTATGGTATCCCTTGGGGGGGAAACCCTAGTCTTGCATATGATTAAATTCATTTATGGGAGTTTTTGTGGGTTCCCCAGTGAAACTTTCACTCCTAGAAATCAATCACTCTTGTTTGTATTTTGAGTAAAAATAATAATATCGTTAACTGGGTTTGCCTGTGTCGTTTATAAAGTTTGTTGCTGC